CCTATCATCTCCAGGGAATCTATATTATAAAATGCCTAGCCTCAACAAAGGTCCTGAGTGTTGTTTCAAATTTCATCTCCTATTTTCATTAAATATTTCAGATATAAGAAAAATAGGCCAAGCCTGGTGGCTCACACCTGTAATCCCAGCACTTTGGGAGGATGAGGCAGGAGGATCACTTGAGACCAGTTCAAGACCAGCCTAGGCAACATAATGAGACCTTGTCAATACAAAAAAAAATTTCAAAAAAAATATTTGTAGTTGTTAATATTTCTATTTCGTTTAAAATAAATCTGCCTTATGGTAAAAGTTTAATTCCAAGAGAAAAGAAATTACAGAAAACCTAAAAGTTGGTCATTATCCTTACACCAAAAGGTAGTAATACAAAAAATTCTATCATTGTATTTCATCAAAAACATTAAACAGCCGGGTGCAGTGGCTCATGCCTGTAATCTCAGCACTTTAGGAGGCTGAATCAGGACACTCACCTGAGGTCAAGAGTTCGAGACCAGCCTGGCCAACATGCTGAAAACCCATCTCTATTAAAAATACAAAAATTAGCTGGACATAGTGGTACCTGCCTGTAATCCCAGCTACTCCGAAGGCTGGGGCAGGAAAATCGCTTGAACTTGGGAGGCAGAGGTTGCAGTGAGCCGAGATCACATCATTCCATCATTCCAGCCTGGATGACAAGAGCAAATCTCCATCTCAAAAAAAAAAAAAAGTCTGGGTGCGGTGGCTCATGCCTATAATCCCAGCACTTTGGGAGGCTGAGACAGGTGCATTGCCTGAGCTCAGGAGTTCGAAACCAGCCTGGGCAACACAGTGAAACCCCATCTCTACTAAAGCACAAAAAAAATTAGCCAGGCCTGGTGGCAGATGCCTGTAGTCCTAGATACTCTGGAGGCTGAGGCAGAATTGCAAGAACCCAGAAGGCGGAGGTTGTAGTGAGCCAAGATCAAGCCACCGCACTCCAGCCCGGGCAACAGAGAGAGCCTCCATCTCAAAAAAAAAACAAAACAAAAAAAAAACAAACATTAAACACATAACCTGAAGCCAAAAAAGAGAAAAAAGCAAGAGATTCCCTCTTAGTAACAAATGAGTTAAGCAGTGATAGAAGTTACACTAACATTGGAGGGCAAGAGAAACACTGACTCACACATTCCCCTTTGATGTCAATTTTACAATTTAGGGCCAAGTGCAGTGGCTCAGGCCTGTAATCCCAGCAGTTTTGGAGGCTGAGACAGACAGATCGCTTGAGCTCAGTTTGACACCAGCCTGGGCAACATGAAGAAATCCCGTCTCTACAAAAAATACAAGAAATTAGCTGGGTGGTGTCACACACCTGTGGTCCCAGCTACCAGGGATGCTGAAGTGGGAGGATCGCTTAACCCCAGAGAAACAGAGGTTGTAGTGAGCTGAGATTGTCCACCACAACCCAGCTTGGGTGGCAGAGTGAGACCCTGTCTCAAAAAAAATTAAAATTAAATGAAAATAAAATGAAATTTAAAGAGCTAGTTTCTTTCGGAAGAAAAAGGAGGGAAAACTTACAAATTATACCTTTAAGCTTCAGGACCAATAAATCAAAACCATTTTGCCCACTGGTTCCAATTTTAAAGTCAATCCCCCATTCCTTTTTTTTAATCAAAAATCATGAGTCATCAAACATCTGGTACCCAGGAAATTTACTGATTTAAATTCATTGAATTAAAACTGAGCACCCACAATTGAACAAATATTTTTCGAATTCAACCAGAGATGAACCTTATCTCCCCTAGCACTTACACTTGCAATTGTAGTTTTCTTCCTCGACTTTGGGTGGGCGGGGGTGGGAAGTACAGTGAACAAATTTCAGAGTACAGCTAACCACCTCAATAGAACTTGACGAAAAAGGAAAACAGGTGTTCTTTACCCCCAACAACTTTGTGACAATTTTAAAAAATGGTTTAAAATTATTTAAATATCTACTAAATATCAGACTAAATCCTTATACATCAAATCATTTTTTAAAAGTGGACAGGATCTCACTGTGTTGCCCAGGCTAGAGAGCTCAGTGGCTGATCACAGGAGTTTGGAACTCCAGGTTCAATGAATTCTCCCACCTCTGCCTCTGGAGTAGCTGGAACTACCGGTGCGAACCACCGGCGTGCACCACCGTCAGCTAAATTTTATTTTTTTTTTTAGATGGACTCTCACTCCCAGGCTGGAGTTCAGTGGTGCAATCTCGGCTCACTGTATTCTCCGCCTCCCAGGTTCAAGCAATTCTCCTGCCTCAGTCTCCCGAGTAGCTAGGACGACAGGCACCTGCAACCACGCCTGGCTAAATTTTTTTATACTTTAGTAGAGACGGGGTTTCACTGTGTTGCCCAGGCTGGTCTCGAACTCCTGAGCTCAGGCAATCAGCCCGTCTCGGCCTCCCAAAGTGCTGGGATTACAGCACCGCGCCCGGCCAATTTTTTTTTTTTTTTTTTTTTTTTTTTTTTTTTAAGAAATGAGGATGTGGGGGGGGGGGGTCTCGCCATGTTGTCCAGGCTGGTCTCGAACTCCTCAGCCCAGGTGATCCTCCCGCTTCGGTCTCCCAAAGTGCTGGGGATGACAGGCGTGTTCCACCGCGCCGGGCCCCAAATCTTTGTCTTGGTCATGGAATAAAAAGCAGGGTATACAGTTGGCGTGTAGGACTTAAATCCTCAGATGACGCCAACGTTTCTAACCAATGATTTCAAATGGCTCACCATTAACTTCTCATTAACCCAACGAACAAGAGAGTGACACGCTGAGATTTTGGATCCTTTTTCTCTCCCAGGCTCTCCCTCTAGCAAAGAAAGAGGCGCATAAACAAGAGGTGTGGCCCATTAGCAAATCAGACAGACCGTCCCGAATCAGGGACAACTACTGAAAAGCAGAGAGGAAAAAGAAGAGTTTCGCGTTTCCACTCCTCGGACTCTGCTCCAGAATTCAGCGTTACCCGTCCAAAGCAGCGGCGTCAGAACAAGTTACTAAACGTCACCCGCAGTCTCCCGCTCCGCCTCCCGGGAAGGGCTGGGTCCCCCTCTCGGCTGTGACACCATCGGGTGTATAAGCGGAGTGGGGCCAGCGTGTCTCCCCCGAGAGAAACCCGAGGCCCAGAGGAGCCAAGGGAGCCCGACACGAAAACTACAGAAGTTCCTGAGCAGGGACCTGAACCAAGGTCTCTGCCCACGGCGCGGGCTGTAGAGATGCCGCTGCACTTGAGAAGGGGTCCCCACACGCGAGTGGGGCGAGGGGTCAGTTGAACCAGTCCCCCCCGGGTCGCCAAGTCCCAAGTCCCGCCCTCTCCCCGCAGGACTCCCGGAGAGGACCTCAGCCTTCTGGCTTCGCCTCTCCGCCTCACTCAAGAGGAGACCTGCCAGGCCCTGTCTGACCTGTCGCCGCTGGGACCGAGCAGGCAGCGCGAAGACTCCATGCCTGCCTCGAAGAAGCGCCCACCACCACGTACACACTCTTCGCCAACGTCGCTAGAGTGGCGAGGCTGGCACGCCGCCGCGTCCCGCCTCCTGGCAACCTCATTCCGCACTGTCGCCGCCGCCGATTGGTCCGTGTGCTCGCGGCTCCTGTCTCATTGGCTACTGCCGGGCCCAACGATGCCGGAGGGTTGCTAAGGGGCGGGAGGCGCGCGGGAGTTAAACGCGCCTGCGCGGGGGCGAGGTGACGCGCATCAGGGCTTGGTCCGCTGGAGCGCTTCGTGGGGCCGGGACTGAAGGCGGAAGGATGTGTTTGCCTTGGCTGCGCCCGCCATCCGGTCAGCGGGCGAGTCCGGTCAAAGGAGTCGCCCATACCCCACCAACTGCCACGCACGCAACGGTTCCCCGCAACCCCGCCATTTTTATCGAGCCCACCCAGAGCTCTTCCCGAGGTCTGCCCTGTGAGGATGTCCAGACCTCTGCAGCCTCCCATTCCGGCTCCTGCCCTGATACCAGTGGCCTTCGTGGACCCACTCTCCAGCAGTCACTCCCAGTGAAACGCATCTTGCATAGGCTGGCCTTGACTTTGAACTGCACAGAACTCTTTCAGCCTCCCCTACTCCAGCCCAAACTTTTAGGTCATTCCTAGACCTGCTTTACAGACTCCCCTAAAACACACCAAGGTATCCACTTTTTTTCCTTTTCTTTTTTTGAGACGGTCTCACTCTGGCTCAGACTGCAGTGTGGTGGCCCAGTCTTGGCTCACTGCAACCTCCGCCTCCCAGGCTCAAGTGATTCTCCTGCCCCAGCCTCCGGAGTAGCTGGGATTACAGGCACGGGCCATTACCAGGGGGCTATTTTTCGTATTTTTAGTAGAGACAGCATTTCACCATGTTGGCCAGACTGGTCTTGAACTCCTGACCTCAAATGATCCACCTGCTCCGGCTTCCCAAAGTGCTGGGATTACAGCCATGCTCCGGGCCTGGAAACTCCATCTACCTCTCTAGCACCTGTGGGCCTTCCTCAAACATCCATAGCCCACAGTGAGACCTCATCTAAATGTGTGCTTGTGTCCAATAAATCGCATCCCCAAGTGTCAGTCCCTTCCTGCCGACATGCACATTACCGTCCCTACAAAACATCCCGAGTCCTGACAAGTCACTGCACAAATGGCTTTATGGCATTCCAAGGTCAAAGTTGTTTCCACGTTGGTTTTGAACCTACAAGTAGTACTTCAGAAGGCACACGCTGAGAGTGGAGCGTTACACTGCCTGGCTCAGCCTGCACTCACTGCAGTCAACCAGAGTCAACCATAGTGTCACAGAGTTTGATTTTTTCCATCCATCATGACCATGTGCATAGTTCATTCTCTGCCTCAAATTCCTATCTGCAAAATATACAGAGTAATCTCTGCCTGACCTAGTTGGGGCTGCACCTGACACAGTAGGTTCTTAAATGCTGAATGAATGTGGTTTAATGAGATTCTAGTTTGAGTAAAAGGCCATCTGAGACATTCTGTTGACTTAAGAAGTCCTTCTGCCTTAATTACAATAAATAATATTCTTTGAAAACTTTCCATGTTTATTTACACAGTTTTACAGTTACTCTAAGAAACCATTCTATTTAATATTTACAGATTGTTTCAGTTAGGAAAAAAACTCAAAACACAAGCACTCATCTATGTTCCCTTTATCTACCCTGATCTCATGTAGTCCCTAAAACAGGGCTTGCTGCCCTTCTTGCCTTTCAGCAGATGAGTCAAGGTTGCAGAGGTGGCAGTCAACCATAGAGTCACTTATTTTTTTTCATCCATCAGGTCACAAAAAACTGCCACTGAGCCTGACAGAGTTGGTACTCAAAAACGCAGAATGGGAAGAAACGGTGGCCAGGAGGGGGCTCCGGGGACCATGGGGCTCCTGACCATTCTGAATATGAAGCAGAAAGAGCGGGAGGTGCGACTGCTCATGCTTGGCCTGCACAATGCTGGGAAGACAACCATCCTGAAGAAGTTCAACGGGGAGGACATCGACACCATCTCCCCGACACTGGGCTTCAACATCAAGACCCTGGAGCACCGAGGATTCAAGCTGAACATCTGGGATGTGGGTGGCCAGAAGTCCCTGCAGTCCTACTGGCAGAACTACTTTGAGAGCACCGACGGCCTCATCTGGGTGGTGGACAGCGCGGACCACCAGCGCATGCAGGACTGCCGGCGGGAGCTCCACAGCCTGCTGCTGGAGGAGTGCCTGGCCAGAGCAACCCTACTCATCTCTGCCAACAAGCAGGACCTGCCTAGAGCACTGTCCTCTAATGCCATCCATGAGGCCCTGGAGCTGAACTCCATCCACAGCCACCACTGGTGCATCCAGGGCTGCAGTGCTGTCACCAGGGAGAACCTGCTGCAGGGCAGACTGGCTCCTGGATGACATTTCCAGCCGCATCTTCACATCTGAATGAGCCACTCCAAATGCTCCCCACATAGCAGTCTAGGTCCCCCAACCCTCACCAAACACTATCCACAGAGGGATGGGAGTCAGCCAGCCAGACTAACACCCCGCCTCCTCCACCCCTAACCTGCTGCTGCTACTGCTGCCTGCTGCTGCCCAGTGGCAGAAGGGCTGTGCCCTGGCTGCCTCCCTCGCTCCTAACCTGGCCTTTGGCTGCCATACCAAGAAGAGAGGGCTAGGTAGACAGAAGCTGCCTCTGCTGCTACCGAGGCTGTGGGCCTCATCCTTCACTCAGCTATGAAATAAATCGCTCCTTGTCCTGGAAAAAAAAAAAAAATTGCAAAATGGACCAGGCAATGTGACTCATGCCTGTAATCCCAGCCCTTTGGGAGGCCAAGGCGGGTGGATCACACAGTCAGGAGTTCAAAACCAGACTGGCCAACATGGTAAAACCCCGTCTCTAAAAATAAAAATAAAAATAAATGCAGAGCTATTAAAGGATTAATGAGTAGGGGTTAAGGAAACAAAAACCTTTAGTAGATGGGGTAATATTGCTGTATTACTGACAGAAGCAAGATTCTCTTTTTCTTTAAAAGACAGCGTTTTTAAAACTCTGGCCAACATGTTGGTCAGGCTGGTCTTGAACTCCTGATCTCAGGTGATCCGCCTGCCTTGGCCTCCCAAAGTGCTGAGATCACAGGCGTGAGCCACCATGCCCGGCAAGAAGCAAGATTCTCTTAAAAAACCTTTCTGTACCCATTTATTTACATACATTTTAAACAGTTATTACAAGATACTTTAAAAATTTAAACAGAAAAATATGAAGTGAACAGTTCATGACACTAAACTGATTATGACACAAAGTATTTTAGAAAGGAAATCCTGGCTGGGTGTGGTGGCTTATGTCTGTAATCCAAGGAAGGTTGAGGCAGGCAGATCACTTGAGGTCAGGAGTTTGAGACCAGCCTGGCCAACATGGTAAAACCCTGTCTCTACTAAAAATACAAAAAAAAAAATTAGCCAGGCATTGTGGCAGGTGCCTATAATCCCAGCTACTGGGGAGGCTAAGACAGGAAAATTCTTGAACCTGGGAAGTGGAGGTTGCAGTGAGATTGCACCATTGCACTCCAGCCTGGGTGACAGAGCAATACAGTATCTCAAAAAAAAAAAAAAAAAGTTCTTGGAATTGAATTCCCTTATGACTCTAGAAAACGTGTCTCCTTTCTATTGAGATTGCTGATGGCAGTCAGCTTTTCACAAGGAATTGGCTTCTGCTCAGTTTCCCTCTCTCTCTGAGATAAGCAAACAGGTGCTGTCGTCTCCTCCATGTGACCTTTATTCCATACTTGTCCTCAGGGGTGTCTTTAACCAGAACAGGTCCAGGCTCCAGGCTACTGGGAGTGCCAGTGTGAAGAGAGCAGCTTGAAAGGTTGTTTTCCTTCTGATCTGGGGGAATGAGTCCTTCCTTCATAGACGATGACTCTGGGGTCTGGATATCAGGTGGAATGAACACATAAGGTAAGCTCTGAAGTGCCTGAGCTGACATGTCCCCACAGCTTTGGGGACTGAGCACTGGAACTAAGGGTCTTCTGGAAACAGGCTTTTCTGATTGACTAGGGAACTCCCTGATTAAGGGGATCCCCAATGTCTCTGAACTGGAAGATTGCGGACTCTCAAAATTTAGCTGTGGAAACTTGGAAGTGGTAGATTTTCGACTTAAATGTCTCGCCCGGTCTTGGTGGTGGTGTTTCTGGTAGGCTGGGAACAAACTTCCTGCTGTTGTATCAAAATCAGGTGATACCTTAAAAAAAAAAAGTGAGGTGAGCCAACTACCAAGTACTAACCTAAGAGAGGAAACTATATCCGATGAGCGGACTCTTAAATCGGAGTCCACTATAGTAATGAACACAGAACTAAAATAGCTGTCTAATGGTATAATAACAGGAAGCTTTGGACAAGTTATTCTGTCTCTGGCTTTCAGTTTCATCATGTGTAGTAAACGGGATGATGTCTCTTTCACTTCATCTCACCATATAGATATAACTTTTTTCCCCCCTGGGATGGAGTCTCACTCCGATGTCTAGGCTGGAGCACAGTGGCACAATCTCAGCTCACTGCAAACTCTGCTTCCCGGGTTCAAGTGATTCTCCTGCCTCAGCATCTTGAGTAGCTGGGACTACAGGCATTCCCCACCATGCCCAGAAATTTTTTTTTTTTGAGACAGAGTTTCGTTCTTGTCACCCAGGCTGGAGTGCAATGGTGAGATTTCTGTTCATGCAACCTCTGCCTCCCTGATACAAGTGAGCCTCCTGCTTCAGCTTCCCATGTAGCTGAGGTTACAGGCATATACCACCAAGCCTAGCTAATTCTTGTATTTGTAGTAGAGACAGGGTTTTACCATGTTGACCAGGCTGGCCTTGAACTCCTAACCTCAGGTGATCCACCCACTTCAGCCTCCCATAGTGCTGGGAATACAGAGGTGAGCCACGGCACACAGCCAATTTTTGTATCTTTAGTAAAGTTGGGGTTTCACCATGTTGCTCAGACTGGTCTCAAACTCCTGACCTCAAGTGATCCATCCAGCTTACCCTCCCAAAGTGCTGGAATTACAGGTGTGAACCACAACACCTGCCCTGGATATAACTTATTTATCTTTAAACTTCATGAAGGTAGAGACCAGCGGTCTTGTTCTTGATTCCCAGCACCCAGCAGAATGCCTGGAACAAAGAAGGCCCTCAGTAAATAATGAATAGCCAACTCCAAGCATAATGGGTGAGAACTAGCAGAGGACCTGGCATATAATGAATATTCAGTAAATGTTCATTCCTATTCTCATCCACAAAATTCTGATGTTTAGGTTTCTTTCACAATCCTGTAGCAGGTACTATGGTTCTTCCAAGCAGTCCTGAATAAGTTATATTTATTAAATATTCCTAAGCCAAGCTTATGCTTTTGTCTGGCCCTTTTGCTATACTACTTCCTTGTTGTATACTAGCTATATTCTCTTCCCAGGGTCTCACTCTGTCACCCAGGCTGGAGTGCAGTGACACAATCTCAGCTCACTACAGCCTTGGCCTCCTGGGCTCAAGTGATCTGCCCTCAAGTAGCTAGGACTACAGGTGTGCACCACCACGCCCAGCTAATTTTTATATTATTTTTAGTAGAGATGGGGTTTCACTCTACATATTGCCCAAGCTGGTCTCAAACTCCTAGGCTCAAGCAGTCCTCCTGCCTTGGCCTCCTAAAGTGCTGGGATTACAGGCATGAGCCACCACAACCAGCCTCTCTTCCCAGGGCTTTTAAGTGGTCAAAATATAATATATGCTATTCTTATGGGGTTTTTATTGTTCAAGGTTCAATCCATTAAACAATAAACAGATTATCTACCTAAATACTCCACCTGTCACATGAAGTTTAGGAAATAATCTCATTTCTTACTTGTTCTGCCATTTATCTGGCTTTCTCATCCAGCTAATAATAAGTAAAAAAACCTTTTTTTTTTTTTTTTTTTGAGACAGAGTTTCGCTCTTGTTACCCAGACTGGAGTGCAATGGCACAATCTCAGCTCACCGCAACCTCCGTCTCCTGGGTTCAAGCAATTCTCCTTCCTCAGCCTCCCGAGTAGCTGGGACTATAGGTGCGCACCACCATGCCCAGCTAATTTTTGTATTTCTAGTAGAGACAGGGTTTCACCTTGTTGACCAGGATGGTCTCGATCTCTTGACCTCGTGATCCACCCACCTCGGCCTCCTGAAGTGCTGGGATTATAGCCGTGAGCGACCGCGCCCGGCCTGTAAAAAACTTTTACACTGAACTCTTTCAGATGAAAATAGGGAGAGAGAAAGACTCCAGTTCCAACTAATCCATTCCTCAGTTTGAACGGAGAAAAGACAATGTACCAGAGAACATGGTTGGCCACAGACAGAAAGAATACATTAACTCCCTGCCCCTGCCCCCAAGAATCTTATTCTTTGGAGGCCCTGGTTCTAGGGGCAGAAGAGTCAGCATTCTGGAAAACCTAACAGTAAAAGTGGAAGTAATAATCCCATGGCCCTACCCAGGAAGTGATGGTGCTGTGCGAGTCAGCATTCTGGAAAACCTAACAGTAAAAGTCGAAGTAATAATCCCATGGCCCTACCCAGGAAGTGATGGTGCTGTGGTCAATGGGCTTGCTGGGCACCTGTCGAGTGTGAGTGATGGGAAGCTGTGTAGATGCATAGCGGTGTTTGGGGCCCTCCAGTGGTTGTTGGTGGAACAGCAGCTGGGCTTTCTGGGAAGGCTGGCGGCGTTTTTTTCTGGGAGGCATCAACCGGTGAATGAGGAACAGTTAGTAACCACATGATGCTGATAGCCTTCGGGATGGGAGATAGGCTCCAATTCCAACCCATGCCTGTAGAGAAGAAACAAACGCTGGGAACAAATATTCCCTAGATTTTCCTGATCCTCTGCCCGCCAATTCTACTGTAAATCTCAAGGTTGTGGGGAGCACTGCCTCCTAAAGTCTATGCCACCAATCAAAACACAGTATTCATATTCAACATTCATCTAACAAACATTTATTGAGTATGCACTAAATGTCATGCTAGGTGCTGGGAATTTAAAGATGAATAACCATTTATTAAACAATCATTTACTGAGTGCCAAACACTTGTAGTGATACAGAGCTCATCCCTGTTTCAAGGAGCTGAAAGTCTAACAAAGGGAAATGGACATTCACAACACAATGGGAGAATACAATATGGTTCCATTCATTCCAAAGGAAGCTTTCTGGAAAGGGAGATACCTAACCTAGGTATGGAAGGCCTAGAAGAAACAAAAAAGCAAGGACACTCCAACCGGAGGAAGAGCGTACACAAAGGCACAGAGACAAGAAGGAGTATTGTGAATTCTGGGAATTACAAACTCAATGTATCTGGATAGAGTATGAAAAGATAAATGGCAAGAACTGAGGATAAACATGGTGTCAGGGTGAGGTGAAAAAAACAGATGACATGGCCAAGTGTGGTGGCTCACAGCTGTAACCCCAGCACTATGGGAGGCAGAGGCAGGCAGATTACCTGAGGTCAGGAGTTTGAAACCAGCCTGGCCAACATGATGAAACCTCATCTCTATCAAAAATACAAAAATTAGCTGGCCGTGGTGGTGCATGCCTAAGGTCCCAGCTACTCAGGAAGCTGAGGATCACCTGAACCCAGGAGGCAGAGGTTGCAATAAGCTGAGATCACACAACTGCACTCCAACCTGGGCAACAGAGTGAGACTCTGTCTGAAAAAAACGAAACAAAACAAAAAGGATTAGCCAAGTGTGGTGGTGCTCGCCTCTAATCCCAGCTACTCAGGAGGCTGAGGCAGGTGAATCGCTTGAACCTGCGAGGTGGAAGTTGCAGTGAGCCAAGTTCGCCCCACTGCACTCTAGCCTGGGCAACAAAGCAAGACTCTATCTCCAAAAACAAACAAACAAACAAACAAAAACAGATGACACCATATGAGTTTGGACTTTATCCTGAGTAGTCATGGCAGATTTTCAAGCAGAACAATTTGATCCCACCCGGCTTTTTAAAAAATTTTTCACTCTACATAACATCAAATACACACTGAAGTAGACTGAATAATATAATAATGGGCCCTGTGTACCAAACATCCAGCTCCAAAAACTATCAACCAGGCTAATCCTGACTCATCTATACCCCTAGCCACTGCTTCTACCCCCGCATTATGTCGAAGAAAATATGTTCTATTGGCCGGGCACAGTGTCTCATGCCTGTAATCCTAGCACTTTGGAAGGCGAGGAAGGCAGATCACCACAGGTTGGGAGTTTGAGACCAGACTGACCAACGTGGAGAAACCCCATCTCTATTAAAAATACAAAATTAGCCAGGCATGGTGGAGCATGCCTACTCAGGAGGCTGAGGCAAGAGAATCACTCAAACCCAGGAGGCAAAGCTTGCGGTGAGCCAAGATTGCGCCATTGCACTCCAGCATGGGCAAGAAGAGCGAAACTCCATCACAAAAAAAAAAAAAAAAAAAAAGTTCTATCATTCCCATGAATACGACTAAATAAAAACATAAACTCCTTAACATTATCAAATACCCAGCCAGTCAGGGAATAAATTTTTTTTTTTTTTTTTTTTTTTTTTTTTGAGACTGGGTCTCATCTGTCACATAGGCTGGAATACGGTGGCACAATCACAGCTCACTATAGCTTTGAGCTCCCAGGCTCAGGTGATCGTTCCACTTCAGCCTCCCAAGTAGCTGGGACTGTGCCACAACACTGGCTAATTTTGTATTTTTTGTAGAGATAGGGTTTTGTCGTGTTGCCCAGGCTAGTCTTGAATTCCTGAGCTCAAGTGATCTGCCCACCTCAGCCTTCCAAAGTGCTAGGATTACAGATGTGAGCCACCACACCCCAGGTTTTCTTTGTCTTTTTTTTTTGAGACAGAGTCTCACTCTGTCCTCCAGGCTGGAGTGCAGTAGTGTGATCTCGGCTCACTGCAACCTCTGCCTCCCAGGTTCAAGCGATTCTCATGCCTCAGCCTCCGGAGTAGATGGGACTACCGGCGCCCACCACCATGCCCAGATAATTTTTTATATTTTAGTAGAGATGTTAGCCAGGATGGTCTCGGTCTCCTGACCTCATGATCCACCCACCTCAGCTTCCCAAAGTGCTGAGATTACAGGTGTGAGAAACTGCACCAGGCCTTTTTTTTTTTTTTTTTTTTTTTTTTTTGAGACAGGGCCTTGCTCTGTCACCCAGGCTTGAATGCAGTGGTGTGATCACGAATCATTGCAGCCTCAACCTCTAGAGACCAAGTGATCCTCCACATCAGCTTCCTGAGTAGCTGGAACTACAAGTGAGCACATTGCACCTGGCTTTTTTTTTTTTTTTTTTTTTTAAGAGACGAGGTCTCCTTGTGTTGCCTAGACTGGTCTCAAACTCATGGGCCCAAGCAATCCTTCCCTCCTCTACCTTCCAAATTGCTGAGATTACTAGTAATTCTTCAGACAGGCCTTCTCTAACAACTATGTCTAAAATAACAATCAATTCAAACCCTTGTTTTATTTGACTCTTCTCTGTACTTTTATCTTTTGAGACAGAGTCTCACTCTTTTACCCAGGCTGAAGTGCAGTAGCTCAATCTTGGTTCACTGCAAGTTCCGCCTCTCAGAAAACGATGTTCCTGCCTCAGCCTCCCAAGTAGCTGGGATTATAGTTGCCTGCCACCACGTCCAGCTAATTTTTATATTTTAAGTAGAGATGAGTTTCACCATTTTGGCCAGGCTGGTCTTGAACTCCTGACCTCAACTGATCTACCCACCTAGGCCTCCCAAAGTACTGGGATTACAAATATAAGTCACCATGCCTGACGCCTCTGATAGCCTTCTGAGTTCCCTGTTTCCTTTTTCCCCACTCCTCTCCAACCTGACTTTTCTTACAAGGTGCCTTGAGCATCTTTTCTTAAAGTTTTATTATTTTTTTTAGAGATAGAGTCTTGCTTTGTTGCCCAGACTAGTCTCGAACTCCTGGGCTCAAGTAATCCTTCTGCCTCGGCCACCCAAAGTGTTGGGAATATAGGCATGAGCCACCACACCTGCCCCAGATCAACTTTAATGAGAGCTTTTTCAGTGGAATGGTAGGGTGCAAGGTTGAATGCAATAGATAGAGACTTAAGTAAATGAGAGGTGCAGCTGAGCATGCTGGAATGTCACACAACGGAGTAGGTTGGTTCTATATGTTCGTAATCCATTCAATCAACAATAACAAAAAACATGGTTTGACTTACATAATTAGGCAGTAGAGTTACAGGTAAAGAAAAAAGGACAAAGTCTCTATTCTCAAGGAACTAACACCTTATGAAGAACACAAAATACAAATACATCTATTTGTTCATTCACTCACTTGAAAATCTTTAATGAGTGCCTACTGTGTGTTAGGCACTGTTCCAGGTGCTGAAAATATATACCAGAGAATAAAATAAAGCTTCTGCTGTTGTCGTGCTTACATTCTAGTTGGAAAGGGATAAAAAGTATAGAGAGGCCGGGCGTGGTGGCTCATGCCTGTAGTACCAACACTTTGTGGGGCTGAGGCAGGCCCCACACTTGATCACTTGAGGTCAGGAGTTCAAGACTACCTGGCCAACAGGGTGAAACCCATCTCTACTAAAAATACAAAAATTACTTTGGGAGGCCAAGGTGGGTGGATCACGAGGTCAAGAGATCGAGACCATCTTGGTCAACATGGTGAAACCCCGTCTCTACTAAAAATACAAAAAAATTAGCTGGGCATGGTGGGCGCATGCCTATAATCCCAGCTACTCAGGAGGCTGAGGCAGGAGAATTGCCTGAACCCAGGAGGCGGAGGTTGTGGTGAGCCGAGATTGCGCCATTGCACTCCAGCCTGGGTAACAAGAGCGAAACTCCGTCTCAAAAAAAAAAAAAAAATACAAAAATACAAAAATTAGCCAGACATCGTGGCATACACCTATAATCCTAGCTACTCGGGAGGCTGAGACAGGACAATTGCTTGAACCTGGGAGGTGGAGGTTGCAGAGAGCCAAGCACCACTGCACTCCAGCCTGGGCAACAGAGTGAGATTTCGTCTGGAAAACAAACAAAAAGCTACCATAGAAATCCAGCGGAAAGATGACAGTGGTAGCAATGGCTATGGCGTTGAAATTCATGACTTGCTGAAAGTCATCAGCTTCAAATGGGTACATTGCTCAGCAATCCTGTTTCCTTGATCAACTCATTCTCCACAAAGATTATGTTAAAATTTCTCCAAGTTATGTACAGTAGCTCATGCCTATAATCCCAGAACTTTAGGAGGCTGAGGTGGGAGGACTGCTTGAGGCCAAGAGTTCAAGACCAGCCTGGGCAACATAGTGACACCTCGTCTTGACTAAAAATTTAAAAGAATAATTAGTTGGACATGGTGGGACACACCTGTCGTCCCAGCTATTTGGGAGGCTGAGGTGGGAGGATCACTTGAGCCTAGGAGTCTGAAGATGCAGTGAGCTATGATCATGCCACTACACTCTAGCCTAGGTGACAGACAGACCCTATCTCGAAAAAAAAAGTGGAAATTTTTGTTTGTTAGTTTTGAAATGAAGTCTCACTCTGTTGCCCAGGCTGGAGTGCAGTTGTGCAATCTAGGCTCACTGTAACCTCTGCTTCCCAGGTTCAAGTAATTCTCCTGCCTCAGTCTCCTGAGTAGCTGGGATTACAAGTACCCATCACCATGCCCAGCTAATTGTTATATTTTTTAGTAGAGATGGGGTTTCGCCATGTTGGCCAGGCTGGTCTTGAACTCCTGACCTCAGGTGATCTGCCAACCTTAGCCTCTGAAAATGCTGGGATTACAGGCCTGAGCCACCACGTCCAGGCTGAAAATTTTTATTTTAATTTTTTAAATTACTGTTAGAGGTGAGTTCCTGCTCTGTTGCCCAGACTGGAGTCCAGTGACATGATCATAACTCACTGCAGTCTCAAACTCCTGGGTTCAAGAGATCCTCTTGCCTTAGGCTCCTGCAGAGCTGGGACTATAGACAAGCACCACCACACCTGGCTGGTTTCTTATTTTATTTTATTTTTTTTAGTGATGGGGTCTTGCTGTGTTGTCCAGGCTGGTCTTGAACTCCTGGGCTCAAGTGATTCTCCTGCCTCAGCCTCCCAAAGTGCTAGAATTACAGGTGTGAATCACCATACCCTGCCCACTTTCTTAGAATGTCAGAACACCCCTTTTCTGTTAACAAATGATTTTACTTCAGACTTGACAACGAATGCAGAAGACATCAAAGGAAATACTCGGATTTTACAGAAAGCAAACACACAAACCTATGCATATCAGCATCTATCTTCTTTCTGCTCTAACTAGAGGTCAGTTCATTCTGGTATCTAAGTCCTTCCCCTCTGGTTGTGCTTCGGAGCTATTCTCACTCTATATACTTTTCTTAGGCAAACTCATCTACCTGTATTTCCGTAACCACCTATAAGTAGATGACTTCAATATTTATATACTCATTTTAGAATTCCTTAAGTTCAGTCCCACTACCTACCTGAACATCAACTAGATATTTCAAATGCACCTCAAATTCAACATGTTTAAGGCTGAGCGCAGTGGCTCACGCCTGTAATCCCAGCACTTTCAGAGGCCAGGGCAGGCGATTGCTTGAGCTCATGAGTTTGAGACCAGACTGGGCAACATAGCGAAACCAGAACTCTACAAAAAATACAATAAATTAGGTGCGCTTGGTGGTGGGCATCTGTAATCCTAGCTACTCAGGAGGCTGGGGTTGGCAGATCACTTGAGCCCAGGAGGCGAAGGTTGCAGTGAGCCGAGATCGCACCACTGCACTCCAGCCTGGACGACAGAGCCAGAAACTGGCTTCAAAAAAAGAAAAGAAAAAAAAATTCAACAAGTTTAAAATTGAACTTGGCCGGTTGCATTGGCTGGCATTACACCTGTAATGCTAGCATTTTAGGAGGTGAAGGTGGGAGGATCCCTTGAGCCCAAGAGTTCAAGATCAATCTGGGCAAGAGTGAGACCTTGTCTCTACAAAAAATACAAAAATTAGCTGGGCATAGTGGCATGTGCCTGTAATCCCAGCCATTCAGGAGACTGAGGTGGGAGGATCACCTAAGCCCAGGAGGCTGAGGCTGTAGTAAGAAGCCAAGGTCATGCCACTGGACTTCAGCCTGGGGGACAGAGCAAGACCCTGTCTCTAAAAAATAAAAAGATAAATAAAAATAAATATATAAAATTTTTTTAAAAAACTGAACTCCGCCGGGCGCAGTGGCTCAGGCGTGTAATCCCAGCACTTTGGGAGTCCGAGCCAGGCGGATCACGAGGTCAGGAGATCGAGACCATCCTGGCCAACATGGTGAAACCCATCTCTACTGAAAATACAAAAATTAGCTAGGTGTGGTGGCACGTGCCTGTAATCCCAGCTACTTGGGAGGCTGAGACAAGAGAATCTCTTGAACCCAGGAGGCAGAGGTGGCTGTGAGCCTAGATCTCACCACTGCACTCCAGTCTGGCAACAGAGCGAGACTCCGTCTCAAACAAAACCAAAAAAACAACTGAACTCATTCTGAGCATTGCTTTGTAGTAAAAAACAAAAACTGAATTCACAGTCATTCCCTGACAACCCCACCGCCACCCCTTGGCCAAAGTGATTATCTTCCAGGGCTCTTGATCAGGGAATGGTGTCATTATTCTTTCAATTATGCAGCCAAATATCTTGACACTTCTATCTTCCCACCTCCCATCCAACCCACCATCAAGCCCTGTCAACTTTACCTTTTAAACACCTTTCATAATGCCCCTTTTTCACTCTCTGTTTCCTTCCTTTTCTTCCTCTCTCCCTGACAACCTTTTTCAAGCTCAAGCAGTTCCTGCCTGGAGTATTACAATATCCAACTGGTCTGCCCTAATCCACTCTAGCAACCCCTGCTGTAGAGGGACCTTTTAAAATGCAAATCTGACCTCAGTTCACTTCTGCTTCAAGCTTATGATTGATTTCCTTTATTCTTGGATAAGCATAAAACTTCTCAGTATGGCGAAGGCCTGCTTCCTCTGCCTCCAGCTTCAACTCACACCATACTCCACTCAGGCTGATTAGCTCAAACCCCTCAGATATTCCTCACCGTGCTTACTCCTGCCATGCCGCCTTTGCACACCTGATTCCCTCTGCTTATGGAGGTTCCCTCCTTTCTTTGTAAAAGGCACCAGATCTCACACCAAGCTCTCACAGGAAAAGCCTTTCCTGTCCTACCTCTCAAGATCTCCTTATTGTAAATACTCAAAGTATCATTAAGCTCTACTGTTTCACTTGACAGCAGTAATTCCACTATTGTGTGTTTGTTTGTTTGTTTTGGAGATGGTGTCTCCCTCTGTCACTCCCTCCATCCAGGTTGAAGTGCAGTGGTGTAACAGTTTACCATAGCCTCCACCTCTCCGGCTCAGGTCATCCTCCTACCTCAGCCTCCAGAGTAGCTGGGACTACAGGAACGCACCACCACACCCGGCTAATTTTTAGTAGAGAAGCGGTTTCACCATGTTGGCCAGGCTGGTCTTGAACTCGTGACCTCAATCCATCCACCTGCCTCGGCCTCCTAAAGTGCTAGGGTTACAGGCGTGAGCCACCGTACCCAGCCCACATTTGTTTATTTGATTACTTAAAAATGTCTGAGCCCCTCTCCCAGGATTGGGCTGTGAGTCCAAGGGAAGTTAAGAACCTTGTCTGCCATTGTACCCTCAGGGCCTAGCGGTGCCTGGCACATAGTAGTTGTTCAACTAGACAGGCTAAGTAAATAAATAAAGCACTACAGTCTATTGTATCCGAAGGCTTAGCTTTGGGAGGGGCAAAGACAGGTCAGTACCTTAAGATTTCGCGCGCACGTAGGGCTCAAGGTGCCGACATTTTTTCCAAGATGGAAGAAAGCTGAGATCACACGCAGCCCTCAAAGAACCCTCGGGCTAATCGCGGGGAGCAAATAATCGTTCGCTGTAGGAAAACTGGGTACGATTTCCCCTGGGAAGGAAATCAAGTAAAGCCGACCTTTGAAAAGGGGAGCAATGCAGTTCGAGGGGAGACAGGGGCGTGTCGCCTGACTTGGCTAGGGCGGCAGGGAAGCGGTCCCAGGGAGCCGGGCCTGTCACACCGCTTCCGCGCGTCCCCAAACTGTCCCTCCGCTCGCCCACCCACGCCGCGGAGACCCCTCCGGCCCCTCCCTGACCTCACGGCCACCTCTTACCCCACGAACAGGCCAGCGGGCCGCCTTACCAGCCCGGGCCGGCCAGGGCCGCCGCTCCTGTCAGACCGCGCCGCGTTCGAGCCCCGAATGCCGAGACAAGCCGGCGCCGATTGGCGACGTTCCGTCACGTGACCTTAACGCTCCGCCGGCGCCAGTTTCAAACAGCGGAACAAACTGAAAGCTCCGGTGCCAGACCCCACCCCCGGCCCCGGCCAGGGACCCCCTCCCTTCCCGGGATCCCCCGGGGTTCCCACCCCGCCCGCACCGCCGGGGACCCGGCCGGTCCGGCGCGAGTCCCCGTCCGGGGTCCGGGCTCGGCCCCCAGGTTGGAGGAGCCCGGAGCCCGCCTTCGGAGCCACGGCCCAACGGCGGCGGCGACTGCAGTCTGGAGGTGAGCGGGATGCAGGAATGGAGTCCCAGGCCTGGCCTAGGCACAGGCGGGGAGCAAGGCCTCCGGGTGCGGAGGTCAGGGCGTCTAGCAGCAGGGCACGGGCCACCAGTGGAGGTTTGGGCCATACGGGGAGAAGGTCTGTGCCAGGGTGCAAATTTTTTCTGCATCCAACCTCCTGGCCTTGGCATTCTCACTACTTAAAGCGCCCCATGGACTTCCCTGAAGTCTGACCTCTGCACCCTGCCCACAGCCTCGGGAGGGCTGGGGTGACCTACTTTCTTCCTTAGGCCGACTGTGGCTGCGATGAAGACTGAGCTTGTACTATATTGAGTCAAAGACCAACATACGTACACACTCCCCTGCTCCCAGGCTGTCTCACCACTAGGCAACACTGCCTCCATCTTACCCTTTGGCCACCACCCTTCTCCTGGTTCTTGAGAATGTAGCAAGATTTCCCCGCTTGGGATGGGGATGGGTCAGAGGAGCCACTCTGGAAGTTTCCCGGGCAAGAAAGTGTCGGCAATAATACTAAGAGGTTGGTCAGGAATTAGAAGAGAAACTTAAGACTTAGATATCCTGTGGAAAAATAACAGTATCTACTGATTGATGCAGGGAGAGAGGGAGGCCTGGAAAGATATGAGGTGAAGGTGAAACAGATTTGAAGGTAGAAGTGTGGAGGGCCTGTGAACTCTATGCAGATGGCAAATGTCAAGAAAGTGCAGTTGCTTTTCAGGGAGACAAGTGTCCTAAAAATGAGACAGCCAAGGCCTGGCGCGGTGGTTCAGGCCTGTAATCCCAGCACTTTGGGAAGCCGAGGCAGGCAGATCACAAGGTCAGGAGATGGAGCCCATCCTGGACAACATGGTGAAACCCCCATCTCTACTAAAAATATACAAAAATTAGCTGGGCATGGTGGCGCACGCCTGTGGTCCCAGCTGCTCGGGAGGCTGAGGCAGAAGAATTGCTTGAACCCATGAGGTGGAGGTTGCAGTGAGCAAGATCGCACCACTGTACTCCAGCCTGGTGCCTGGCAACACAGCAAAACTCTGTCTCAAAAAAAAAAAAAAGAGAGAGAGAAACAGCCAATTCCTCTGTCTCCCATAGTTCCATGAAATAGAATTATACAAGTTTACTTAATAGTAGAATATTCCATATATCTATTAAAATTAGCAAAGGGCCAGACACGGTGGCTCACACCTGTAATGCCAGCACTTTGGGAGGCCGAGATGGGCAGAAGTTTGAGGTCAGGAGTTTGAGACCAGCCTGACCAACATGGTGAAACCCCATCTCTACTAAAAATACAAAATTAGCCAGGTATGGTGGTGCACACCTGTAATCCCAGCTACTTGGGAGGTTGAGGCAGGAGAATCACTTGAACCCAGGAAGGTGGAGGTTGAGGCAGGAGAATCACTTGAACCCAGGAAGGTGGAGGTTGCAGTGAGCCAAGATCGCACCATTGCTCTTCAGCCTGGGCAACAAGAGCAAAACAACATCTCAAAAAAATTTTAAAAATCAGGCTGGGTGTGGTGGCTCACACCTGTAGTCTCAGCTCTTTGCGAGGCTGAGGTGGGTAGATCGCCTGAGGTCAGGAGTTCTAGACCAGCCTGGCCAACGTGGTGAAACACTGTCTCTACTAAAAATACAAAAATTAGCTGGACGTGGTGGTGGGCACCTGTAATCCCAGCTACTCAGGCTGAGGCAGGAGAATCGCTTGAACCTGGGAGACGGAGGTTGCAGTGAGCCGAGATGTAATCCCTGCACTCCAGCCTTGGCAACTGAGCGAGACTCCATCTCAAAAAAAAATAAAGGCTGGGTACAGTGGCTCACACCTGTAATCTGAGCACTTTGGGAGGCTAAGGTGGGTGGATCACCTGAGGAGTTTGAGACCAAACTGGCCAACATGGTGAAACCCCATCTCTGCTAAAAAAAAAAAAAAATTAACTGGCGTGTTGGTGTACGCCTATAATCGCAGCTACTCGGGAGGCTGAGGCAGGAGAATCACTTGAACCTGAGAGGCAGGCAGAGGTGTCAGTGAGCTGAGATCGCGTGCCATTAAATTCCAGCCTGGGTGACAAGAGCAAAACTTTGTCTCAAAAAAAAAATGAACGAAATGCTTAAAAAAGAAAAAGCTACACTGTTAGCATTTGAGAACCACCTTAGTGTATTGATGATAGCACATTCTGGTAGTAAGGAGGCAGGGATTATAGTCTTAGTTCTAGAAAAGAAATTAATGAAGTGGCATGCTTAGAAAGTTAAAATATATGTAGCCATGTGCAAGTACTAAAATGCCATTGGATAAATATAGTACAAATTGTAAAAGAAAACATATTCTTTTAAAATTCGAGCAAGTATAATAGCCTGAGAAATAAATGTCACCCTCTAGAGCTGTTCAGAGCACAAGCTGCACAACTTTACATGGGCCTCCAGTAGAGGTTTCCATTTTATGTGAGGTCTTGTAAACTAGGAGATGATTTTTCCAGTGGTGTGGCAATAGTACAGTCTGCCTTTCTTCCCTGATTCTGTTGCACTGGTCCTATTTACGAAGTAACACAAAAATTAAAAGGCCTGGCTGGGCGCGTAGCTCACGCCTGTAATCCCAGCACTTCGGGAGGCTGAGCTGGGTGGATCACCTGAGGTCAGGAGTTTCAGACCAGCCTGAACAACATGGTGAAACCCTGTTTCTACCAAAAATACAAAAACTAGCCAGGCATGGTGGTGGGTGCCTGTAATCCCAGCTACTTGGGAGGCTGAGGCATGAGAATCGCTTGAACCCAGGAGGTGGAGGTTGCAATGAGCTGAGATCGTGCCATTGCACTCCAGCCTGGGTGACAAAGGCAGACTCTGTCTCAAAAAAAAAAAAAAAAATTAAAAGGCTTTATCTTAGAATGGATTATGGGATCAGAGTTTTCTCAGGACTCCTAATTACCATATGCTCCTATTCTAGCATCTTCCATTGCTGTCCGTACAGTCATTGCAAGTTATCTATTTATATTATAGTAGGCAATTAGAGAGATTTCCACATTTTTGTAGCTGTCCCATCCATTTCTGTAGCCAAATATTCTGAAGCTTCAAGAAGGAGATCTTTGGCTATCTCCAACCCAGTCCCATTTTTGCCCTTTGAATTGCTTCTGTCTGCTGTAATTTTAGCAATTATTATCGCCTTATTATCTGAGGTCTTTACAAAAGTCCATGGAGCGTTCACCTCTGCCTTTGAGCTCATGTTCCTGGTCATAGGAAGAGGAGCACCATTCTCTTAAAGAACCTCTTCTCAGCCTAAAAAATCTCTGACATCTTGCTGCTCTTTGCATTTTCCAGGGTCCACACTTGTGATTCTCAATGGAGAGTGAAAACACAGATTCATAATGAAAACCAGCCCCCGTCGGCCATTGATTCTCAAAAGACGGCGGTTGCCCCTTCCTGTTCAAAATGGCCCAAGTAAAACATCAGAGGAGGAACCTAAGAGATCCCCTGCCCAACAGGAGCCTAGTCAAGTACAGGCCTCCAAGGAAGTGGCAGAGTCCAGCTCTTGCAAGTTTCCAGCTGGGATCAAGATTATCAACCACCCCACCATGCCCAACACCCAAGTAGTGGCCATCCCCAACAATGCCAATATCCACAGCATCATCACAGCACTGACTGCCAAGGGAAAAGAGAGTGGCAGTAGTGGGCCCAACAAATTCATCCTTATCAGCTGTGGGGGAGCCCCAACTCAGCCTCCAAGACTCCAGCCTCAAATCCAAACCAGCAGTGATGCCAAAAGGACAGAAGTGACCATAGAGACCTTGGGACCAAAACCTGCAACTACGGATATAAATCTTCCTAGATCACCTGAAGCCCTTTGTGGGCAGAAACAGGAGAGCCGTGGTATGTGGTCTTCCAGGCAAAGGGGTGAGGGAGCCCAGCCTTTCCTCTCTAGTGGCAAGGTCTGTAGTCTGTCTTGATGATTGCAACTGTCAGGCATCTGGCCAAGCATGGTGGCTCACGCCTGTAATCCCAGCACTTTGGGAGGCTGGGGCGGGTGGATCACTTGAGGTCAGTAGCTCAAGACTAGCCTGACCAACATGGTGAAACCCGTCTCTACTAAAAATACAAGAAAATTAGCCGAGGGTGGTGGTGTACACCTGTAGTCCCAGCTACTCTGGGGGCTGAAGCAGGAGAATTGCCTCACTGTGTTGCCCAGGCCAGGAAGAGGAGGCTGCAGTGAGCCAAGATCCCACCACTGCACTCAAGCCTGGGTGACAGAGCAAGACTCTGTCTCAAAAAGATCAAAAACAAAACAATCGGGCATCTAGCCTGAGCCAATGAAAATGTCTTTATCCTGAAAGCTTGACCTAGCCCCTTTGGGCACTGTTGAAAGGGTTCCAATTATAATTTAGCATTTCTATTGCTTTCTTTATGTTGGAAAAGGATTTATTATTTCTGTTTATCCTTTCCATTGACCCAAAAGAAAGTAAAAATTTTTTTCCTTTCTTTAAAAAAAATCTTGGCTTGGTGAGGTGGCTCATGCCTATAAATCCCAGCACTTTGGGAGGTCGAGGCAGTTGGATCACCTGAGGTCAGAAGTGGCCCACCTGAGACCAGCCTGACCAAAATAGTGAAACTCCGTCTCTACTAAAAATATAAAACATTAACTGGGCATGGTGGCAGGTGCCTATAATCCCAGCTACTTGGGAGGCTGAAGCAGGAGAATCACTTGAACCCAGAAGGCGGAGATTGCAGTGAGCCAAGATTGCACCACCGTTGCACTCCAACCTGGGCGACAGAAAAAGAC